GTTTAAAAAATACAGAAGCACGTTTTTCTTAGGGGAAGCACACAAGCCTTTAGGTTAAAAGGGCTCCCCCCGTGCCCCGCACCCAGACTTCAGTGCAAACAAGCATCAGGAGACCATCGCAAAGGTTTCCATGGATCACACTCTGCTGACACGCAGGGGGCTGGGGGTGGGTCCTGGGGGGTCCCTGACCGAGGCCTCGGCCTCATTCTTTCAAACCAGATGAGCCGGCACTCCGCCCCTGCTGCAGTAAGACAACTCACCCCGCCGTGGAACTGGATGACCAGCTACCTCTCAGTCCCCGGCACTGGCTTGTGGAAACCAGGATTTTTTAAAAAAGTATATCCAATATCATTCGAATTGGAATTTTAAAACTGACAGATATTCATTTTTAACAGGTGAAAGTCACACCACAGCATTAACGATGATCATCTTGTGAAACTTCTTTCTATAATAAGCATCACCGGGAGGTTAAAGAATGCAGAGGCCATGGCTTGCTGAAGCAGGGTAGGGCCTGGGCATGTGTATGTTTACCAAGTTCCTCAGACCATGGCTCTGATACCGTCAAAGTTTGAAAACCACCGGCTTAGCTAAAAACGTTTGAACAATTGAAAAACGGCACTGGGCTTTGTCAAGATCTGGTTACAGCAAATCCGACATAAGAGGGCTTCCTTTTCAGCCAACACTTTCTCCACTCTCTGCCTGCCCTCCCAGCCCCTGTGACAGCCACCAGCCACCTGGAGTGACACACCACGGCTCACAGGCTGCAAGGGGAAGAGCAGCTTTGCTAAGCAACAGCTGTGGTTTTATTGTGTTTTTCAGCATTGCGGTTTTATTGTGCTTTTCCTGTTTCTTCCTTCTGCAGCACGAGAGAAAGAAGGTGGGCTTCTGAGCCTCCCAGAACGGAAGTCAGACCTCAACTCCACACTTTGCGGGGCCGAGGGTAAGTTATCCACCTTCTGACCCTTTGTCCCCCCTTCGCTCCCCCTAAAATTGTTCTGGGTGCTGAGGAGAAGGCATCTCCTCTCCATCTTCACCCTCCACCCCCTCCCTTCCAACCTGGCCATCCCAGTCCCTGGGAAAAGACCACAACAAACCCTGCGGCCTTGTGCCAAGGAAGGGCAGTGGGGGATGCGCTATTCCCTGCCCCACCCACCTCCCCTAGTTGCATTCAGGTGTTGCCCCAGCACGGTAACCATCCAGGTAAGCCAGTCCAGGTAACCATCAGGGCCAAACATGTTATTTGTTGGTGGGGAAAGTCAGAGCAGCAGGTAGAGAATCCCTCTTCTCTGCGCCCTTGCGTCATCTGAGAGCACCAGCTTTCGATCCTGCTAAAGGCAGACAGTCCAGCATCGGCCTCACATTTCCTGGGCATATGTAGTGGCCTTTTCCCTGGACCTGTACCTACTGTCTGAGTCAGGAGGGCTCAGCTCAGCCGCGGTGATGAACCCAGACATTTCTGTGGCCGAGTGCAAGGGTTTCTTGTTTCGCTGATGAGAAGTCTGTTCTGAGTCAGGTGACTCTGATTCACGTGGCTTCCGTTTTGTGCCTCCACGATGGCCCATCACTGAGTCGAACGGAGAGCACTGGAGTGTCGTGCTGGCTCTTAAATGGACCAGTGGCCGGAATTAGTCACATGTCCTAAGCTAACTTCAAGGGAGTCTGGGACTGCTGTCTTCCTGGGTATCCGGAAAGAGGAAAATAAGATCTGATGAAAATATAGCATTATTTCTGTCACTCCAAACACCCCTCCTTCTTTTCTTTTCTTTTTTTTTTTAATTAAAGGCAAAAATTGGAGATAAGGGTATATTCCCTCTAGGAGAATATCCCGTTAGCATGTAAAAGGCCTCTGAATGGTATTACAGTGAAGAGGGAATCTATTTAATTCAGCATTTCCTGAACTTATTTGGTCATTGAGCCCTTTTTTTCTAAGTTTAATCTCCGTTGGAACCAGTATTCTAAGCTACAAACTTTGGGAAATTGTCCTCGATGCGTCAGCTGTGGCCCTTGGTTCTCTCACCTGGTACCAGCCACCTCTCAGTGCACCTCGTCTGGAGCAGGGGACGCCCCTGGAGAATCCTGGAGCATGGCTACCCCACCCCACCCCATCGTGAACAGTTCTTTCTGGGCGCCTCCCCTCCCCACTTCCTGTGATTCACATCCACTGTGCAGCCCTTTTCCAGGAACTCATAAGAGGGAGGGGTGGGCCTCAGGCACAGATGCTTATTTGGAAGGGACCCGAGTTCAACCTCTGACCCAAAGAAGAATTCCCCTCGTCTGTTCAGGGTGAGGCCCTTCCCCTCTGTTGGATTCCTCCACTCGCTCACTTGCAATCCTCCTTTGGCCCTGCTGGGCGGCTCAAGCTGTTAGGCAGCCCTCTCTCCGGGAGCCGGGATCTGCTGTTGGGGACCCTGCTGCCCCTCTTCCAGCTCAGACTCCCTGGAGCAAGACAGCAAAGCCTGCTCATCACACGACAGACATCCGAGCGCCCACCAGCTGCCCCCACGTCTCACTCGGCCAAACTCCTGTGTCTTCAAATGTCTGTGACAGGGACTTCCCTCTCGGTCCAGAGGTTAAGACTTTGCCTTCCAATGCAGGGGGTGCGGGTTCAATTCCTGGTAGGGGAACTAAGATCCCACATGCCTCGGGGCCAAAAAACGAAAACATTAAAAAAACAAAACAAAACAAAAAAAACCCAGAAGCAATACTCTTAACAAATTCAATAAAGACTCGAAAAATGGTCCACGTCAAAAAGAATCTTTAAAAAAAAAAAGTCTGCAACAGTTTCCAGGCCCCTCACCGCCTGCCCTCCACCCCCAGCCCCATCGTCAATGGCAAGGTCTGACGCATTTCCCATCACCTTTCTTTGGGCTCAGCATTCCGGTTTCCCGATATCTTCTGGACTCCTAATTGGGTCATGTATCGTCTTGGTGATCAGCTACTCTTTCTAGCTTTGCGTTGCCTGCTAGCAAACTTGCTGAGCATACTTCTGTGGCTCTGAGGCGGGCTGGGCAGGGGAAGGTGGATTTGGAGAGGCTCAGGGAGGAGGGGGCAGGGAAGAGTACTTATTGGGCTCACCTGCCAGCCCTCTCAGAGGCCAAGTTTATTTACACAGTTGCTCTCTTGCCCACCCTGCCCCTCCTGTTTCAGGAAACTTCCCCCGGGAACCCCTGCTGTCTTCCAACATGGTTTCCCAGAGGTTGCCATGGTCTCACCAGCCCTGCTCCTCTGCCCACAGTTCATTGGTCCAGACACGGGTTCATGACCTGATTTATGGCCTTGGCGAAGGGTCTAGGCAGCCTCTCACCAAAGTGAAGGATGTTAAATTTGTTTTGATGATATTAAGCCGCATGAGCTGTTTGTAAATTTTGGAGACTAATCCCTTGTCGGTCGCATCATTTGCAAGTATTTTCTCCCAATCTGTGGGTTGTCTTTTCGTTTTGTTTATGGTTTCCTTTGCTGTGCAAAAGCTTTTCAGTTTCATTAGGTCCCATCTGTTTATTTTTGTTTTTATCTAGTATCTCCCAGAGTAATGGACTGAAAAAGATCTTGCTGTGATTTATGTCAGGGAGTGTTCTGCCCATGTTTTCCTCTGTGAGTTTTACAGTATCTGGCCTTACATTTAGGTCTTCAATCCATTTTGAGCTTGTTTTTTGTGTATGGTGTTAAAGAATGCTCTCATTTCATTTCAATGTTCTTGATCTTGGGGAAATACTGGTCTGCAGGGAGAAGGGAATGCGGCCCACCAGCCACTGGGGCACAGACGCCCCAGTGCAGTGCCCAGCCCTGCGGGAAGGGCAAGCAGGCTGGGCTGTGACGTTGGCTGTTACGGTCTCGTGAAGCTAAGGCATGGGTCCAGCACACACGAGAGAGATGGGACAAACATAGAAAGACAGTCAGATAGGTGCATTCACTGATGGAATACAGTTGGGTACATCTGCACATATATTTAATAACCAAAACACTCAGAAGAAAAATCCTCTTCCCAGCCCTACCCTGACTCAGCATGAAAGCGACACACCCTACCTCAGTGCCCTGAGACTGTGGCCCCGGCCTGACCACCTGCTGGCCTCCCTCCTGAGGGCCCACACCTCTCCCTGTTCTCAGCAGCAGCTGAGGGTGCTACCAGCCAGTCCAGGACACCATCCCAACCCTGGCTTAACAGCTCTGCGGGGAACCCAAGCAACAGGAAGCAGCCGGCAGGTGCCAACAGGGTCTTGAAGCCCCGCGTGCATCCAGGGACCAGTGCTTCGGACAGAGGGTGTGTCCACGGCTCTCAGGTGCACTCCTGGTGCCCACCGGGTGGGGGTGGGGAATGGGGGGATGGGACGCTGGTTGGCAGGCCAGAGGGGGCCAGCCTCCACGCAGAGCCTCTGCTACGCTGTCCTGGGGCCGGTGGGCCCTCGGGGTCCTCCTGTGAGCAGCTCCTTCCTGGTGGTGCAAGAGAAAGCAGAGCCTCCTCTGATTTCACCAGAGCGGATGGGGTAAGAGAAGGTGAGAGCATGTTGCCAGGATCCTAAAATCCAACAGACCGGCTGCTGAGCTCATTCCTTGGCGTCTGGGCAGATGTCTTATGTGCTTCTGACACGCACAGGTCACGGCTTTCCCGTAGCTGTGCTGGCTGAGTTACCTCCCTGGTGTTTTTCCCCTTGTGGATTTCCTGGTCCTATAACCTATTTACACCTGCCCCAAACCCTGCCTCATCAGGAGGCATGTCTGTCCCAACATGGCCACCTTCCTGGAATTCAGCCCAAATCAATACTTTGGGGGACTTCCTGCAGTGTTTCAAGGAAGCTTTGCCCACAGAAACTAAGGAGGACTCTCCAGCCCCCGGACCCTGCCATGAACACCAGCAAGTAAACACACACACCTCTCCCGTCCATCCTCCCACCCGCTAAGCCCACTGCTCCGGCTCCACCAGCCAGACTCCCACCCAGGAAGACAGCCAAGAACGACCCCTGGTCTGACAGTGGTGGTCAAGCCTCGAAGAAGATGGAGCTGGCTTCCAAATCTAAAACTACTTTTATTTGTGGTCGGTTCAGCATAAGGTGCCATTATCAATCAGCAGAATTATAAAACTGTACAGGAGGTACAAAAATAGGCCGTTTAACTTAGATACCCTCACGCCATCAAGCTTTAAAAATACACATAAAAACTGTACAACCTGGCAGTTTATAAAATACAAAGCTAAAAAGAGGATTTCAGGTTCCACAGAGGATTGTATCACACAATTAACACAGACCCATCCAACAATTAACCGTCCACAGAGAAGACACAATGGCACAGAATTAAAAAAAAAAAAAAAAATCACTTAAAAATTAACATTTTTACCCCAACCAAATTATTTATCCTTTAATGACAAAACTACTACAAGGCGTCCATCCTGTGGAAGGATACAGTATAACTTTTCCGTTTCCAGTTTTAAATGGTCAGGGGTGTTGTCCAAAGCAAATCGGATGTGCTTTCAGCAAGTGCAATGGTCACTGGATACGCTTCAGAGCAAAAATTAAATAAATATAAATAGGTTAAATAAATAGGTCACTGCAAAAAGAACACTACCTAAGGCTTGCATCTGAGAATGCTGCAGAGTTGACCGGTAATGCTTTCTAGGTAAGCGGGGACTCCCCCGTCACAGCTTCTGGGACACTGAAAAGGAATACTGTACCCGCCAGACACTCAAGAGCACGGGGTGAGGCGGGGGGGGGGGGGGGGGGGACTTTGGCTGGAAGTGTTGGTTAAGGCTGCTCTGGGGGGAGGCTCATCGCAGATGCTGTCTTTGTGGTTTTCCAATGAATACAGAGAGGATTTAAGTGCCGATTAAAAAAATCAGGACCTGTTACTCGTGGAAATCACTGTTTCATAAAGAAAACCAAGTACAAGGACGAGTAGACACTTTGGTTTAAAGGATAACGGGTCCAACACTGGAAGGCGGAATTCTGGCTCATCTGTACAGGACACCTGGCAACTTTCTTCCAGGCAAGGCCAATGCGCCAGAGCACAGTTAACTGAAACAACTACTCCGGGATGGTGAAGGGTGGCCAAGGAAAAGAAACACTGGAAAATACGAGGAAGAGGGATTTCAGAAGCTAAATGAGCAGAGAGAAAGCTAAAGAGAATTTAAAGAGGCTCCTTACAGGTGTGCTGTGCTCTGTCTTCCAGCACAGAAGGCTGTGAAAACGGAAAGAGCCCACCTTCCTGGAGGACTTCAAGGCTGAGGATCCGATGACCAGAGATGCACAATGAGAACAGTCCCGGGAAATCCAAGCCTGGCCACAGTCTACCTTCAGAGAAGAAAGTGGCCAAGAGGACAAAGCCCTGCAACCCAAAGGCCCCCCACACCTTCGAGGTCAGATCAACCACCAGTTCATCTCTTTCACTGCGGTGATAAATGAATCGCGTTCACACAAAACCTCCCCCAAAGCATCAGGGCGAGCTCTGATAAGGACCCTTCTTCTCCAGTTGGTGGAAAGGAAGCACTTTGCTGGACCCACTAACCTGTGGCTCTTCCACCGAAATACGTGTAATGGGTCGGAATAACGTCTCCCTGGGAAGAGCCTATGATGACTCTTGCATTGAGTGAGGGGGAGATGGGAGGGGACCTTTGCATCTGGGATTTTATACATCAGCCACCAGGTGGTTTAGTGACTTATCATGTAACACCAATGATTCCCAAGAGTGCAGACACTCTGGTGCCCAGTGACAGGTGGAGCTCTCTAAAAATTAAAGTTAAAAGGACTCAATAAGCAACATGAGAATTCTGGCAGGTGTGCCAAAGACAGATTCGATACAAGGGTCAACACAAGATTTAAATAGATTATGGTGTCCTTGGGATCCCTAACAGATGCGAATAAATTCTGTCTTAAAGATGAAGATGGTGTACTTGTAAAAAGTCAAACAGCCTTCAAAGAATCGTACTAAAGATCAAACAGCTCAGCAGTGACAGGACACGCGGCAGGTGCAGAACCCTCTTTTCGAGAAAGGAAGACACCTTCCCGCTGCGCCGAGCACAACAGGAAACCAGAATTCTGGAGACCAGGATGGGATAAACCAGATGGTGCCCACAAGAGACCTTTTCAAGCGGCCTGGAGGACTGACGGGTGACTGGGTTCCCAAAGGTGACGGAGAGAAGATGGACAGAAGGCAATCTGACCCCGGATCTGATGGGTGAAAACCCCAAACGCACGCCCTTCCCCACGCCCGCATCTTCTTCGCAGCACTGATATTTACTCACTGCCGTCTATCACTGGCTCATATGAAAGCCAAGGTTTTGCCTATTTTGTTCACCTGTGTCCCTAGCATGTGATATCCTGCCCAGCTCATACAGTAAGTGCTCAAATAAAATACATTGAATAAATGAGTTTGAGAAAGTTGGGTGGTTAAAAACTAGTATTGCAAGCAGAAAAGGAATTTTAAAAAAAGCTGTCCTGGAGGCAAGCTGGGCCAAAACAGAGAGATGACATAAACCCTGGGCTGCTGAGAATGACCTGGCTACTCCCCAGAGAGAACATTCAGCAGCGACCACGAGGCAAGGCAGCTGCCTCGCCAACAGCCCCGCCCCACTGCCCCCAACACAGGAAGCTGACGGTCCTTTAAATCGCTCACGGCACCTTCTCCACTTCGTACTGTCTCACCATCAGTCCCGGCGGCAAAGCGACCTGCAGAGCCGCCACAGAACAGCGCGGGAGGGCGCTGGCTCAGGAGGATCAGAGCGGGGAGAAGAAAACCGTCCGGCTGTGTTCCTGAAAAACGGACAGCGTGGTACAAGACACCACGATGCTGACCAAGGATGCCGGGGTTCCCAGGTCTAAATGAGGTAACTGATGAGGTTTAAAGATGTAGGATAATATTAAAAGGAGAGAAGAAAAAAAGTGACATTAGGCATTAGGAAAGGAAGGGAACTGAATTCTCTGAAGGCAGAATGAGCGCTTTTGATGAGTGGCCCTCATTCAAATCCACCACCAGAAAACGTCTTACAAGGAGAAGAAACAGCGATTTCTCTGTTAGTTAGTAAAACTAGACAGTAACATTCTTCCTCCTGAGAGGAGTCTCTGGGTTCACTAGGACCGAACTGCAACGATCCATTCCCCTGGATGGAGAAAGCACACGCAAAACGCTTCCTTACGTGGTACCCTGACTGCATTTAACCTCTAAGGCTCTCGGTAGAGAAAAGACAGAGGAGTTTTTGACTAAAACTAAAGTTAAAAATTATATTAATTTTAGGGGGAAAAAAACCCCACGGTATTCACATAATTTAGAGAATATTACTTTCATACATGTATATAGTGTTGCTATAACGTTTTACTCTTCAGCATTAGAGAATGTTCAACATATGAACACTCTTTCTGGAGGGGATGGGACTTTGGGTACCTTACAAAATAGAAGATGTATTCTATATCTTGCATTACTTCCTCACAAGCTTCAAGTTAAGTTCAGCTCACGCTAATGTAGCATTCTACAGTATGATCAAAATATAAAGTTATTAAAATCTGCCAAGAGAAACATAAAAGCCTGCCCGAAAGTGTGTGGTGACCCTGGCCTTGGCCCTCTAACCCCTGGCCCGTCCTGCCAGCCCCAGGGACAGAGCAGCCTCATCGCCCACCTGCTGGCCAGGGCTCTCCCCGGGGGGCCACGAGTGTCCCGTTTGGCCTGCTCCCCTCTGGTCCCAAAGGCCTGTCCCTGCCAGGATCGGAGCTGCTTTCCTTCATAGCCAGGGGACTTATCACCTCCTGCCCCCAAATGCTCCTCAACATCCCCAAGCACCCCAGGGCACGACTCCACCAAAGGCCACCATTCAGGCCACCGGTGCCCTGGGCCACAGCTGTCTCAGAACGCAGCATCCTCTTTGTTTCTGAGAGACCCGCAGACACAGACTCACCTTCCAGAGTTCCAGGCTCTCCTCTCCCCACACCGCGTCCCCACCCTCAAGGCTCTCGCCACCCCCGAGGAAACACTGGTTACAGTGACCTGGGAACCTGTGGGCGCGTCTGTGATCAGTGAGGCATCTCCGATCCCTGGGGATGACGCCCTCTGAAGGTCCTCCTCCTCCTGGGCACCCTCTCCTCCGGAGTCCTGCTTCTAGCGGAGGCTGCACTTAGTGCACCTCGGCCCGGCTGGTCCAAGAGAGAGACGCTCCCGGTCCCAGCACGTAGGCACCACTGAGGGTTCCCTCAGCTCTCTTCCTTAAGGGCCCACACAGTGGCATCTCACAGGGAGTTTTAAAAGAAACGGAAGTCTGAAGCGAGTTTATCCAGGAGAAGGCAGAGGGTGCTCCCCTCTGCCTCTGGGAATGGCCCTCCTTCGCAGCCGTCCCCCGATGGTCAAGCTTTCACGGCCAATATCTTCCCAGCTCCCTCGTGGGTCGGGAGGGGGGGCGCGGTCACGCCTCCCACTTCCCGGGGTCAGCATCCTCCCCTGCTGGCTGCAGAGCAGGCAGCTCGAGGCACTTGGCTTTGCAGCCTGGTCTCCCTGCTCGGCAGGAGACGCCAGGCTGTGGCTTGTAGAGACCAGGCCCTTGGTCCCAGCGGGGCCGCCGGCACGGAGGCCGCCTGGCTCAGAGGGCGTCTGGAGTCACTGGGGGCCGGGGCTCGGGGGGCTCGTGGTAGTAGGGCTGGAAGGGCCTCTCGCGGCGGCACAGCTCCATGGCACGGTAGGTGTGGGAGAGGAGGTGGGGGAAGCGCGACGTGAAGTAGCGCACGAAGCCGTCGGGAAGGGGGCCTAGCGTCTCCCGCACCTCCTCGGGCAGCTCCCGGTAGTGGTGCTTCTGTAGACGGGAGGGGGGCGACACAGACCCACGGTCAGCAGAGAGGAGCCCGCGGGACCCGGCAAGACCCTCGCTCAAGAAACACCGACCGTTAGGCCGCGTAAAGGAACCACCCACCAGCACCGGGCGCCGCTTCCCCTCCTTCCCGGGAGGCCTCGGAGCCGAGCGAGGCCTGCGCGGGAGGGCGGGGCGAGGCCTGCGCGGGGAGGGCGGGGCGAGGCCTGCGCGGGGAGGGCGGGGCCCGCCCCGGGCGGGAAGGCCCCCCTACCCCCACCCCGTCAGAAGGAGTTTATCTGTGCACATCCAGGCACCGAACAAGTCAGCAAAGGATGTAGCACCCGGGAGCCCGCTTCAAGCAGAGGCTGCACTGTGACCTGTATCCCCGCCTCAACATCCCTGGAGGGAAAGTTCATTCAGGGGAAGAAGCAGCCTCTAGTGTTTCCTGTGCAGCCGAGGCCTCCCAGCCTCTGTGAGGTCCTCATCCAGAGGGGCTGGAGGACCCCCAGAGAAGGGATATGAGCAGGGGGGGCTGCGCTGCGGCCCCGCCCGGACCGCCGTGTGCTCATAGCCCTCACCTTATTTCTCATGGCCCGGAGGAGATCTCGGACAGAGCCGCCTTTATAGGTTCTGAATTTACGCAGATCTAGGAAAAAAACAAGGCAGGCAATGTAACAAACAGATTTCGAAAGAAAACAATTCCTGGGGCTCCTGGGGATCAAGCAATCGGACCAAATCATGACCTAACTCCATTCTTGTCACTGACAGGCGCACTTCCCCAGACTGAACCCCAGGGCGGCAGTGTTAGTTTGAATTCCACCTCCCTTTCTCACCTGCGATCAGAAATGACCGCCGAGGGCAAGACACCTGTCACTGACCTGTCACTCTGAAGGACAACTGGGACACACGTCAGAGCAATGGTGTGACCTGTATCCAAACCATAGGAAGCCTCAATCCCAGAAGCGGTATTTGGAGCCCCAAACGGCCTGGAGTTGCCGTTTCCACGTCTGCTTCTCAGAAACAGCTGCTGCTTTTGCACCGCTTCCACCAACACTGACCCCGGGGGCACCGCGAGGTCACCTGTCTGGAGGGGGACAGTGATGTTCTCCCTCCAGTCCATCTTCACCACAGCCCGCCCGCCGCGCTCCAGCTGCTTCACTATCGGGCCGTCTAGGGACTCCTTCTCTATCCGGTCACTCACGTCCTGGGAGGGAGACAGGGCAACAGGTAACAGTCAGTGTGCAGAGGCTCTGAGAGCCAGAGGACGGACACTCTGAGTGCCGGGACGGCCACCCCTGCCTGAGCCTCAGCCCAGAGCTGGGCAGCAAGCGTCCTGCCTTCTGCCCTGTCCATCACCTCTTCCCCGGGAGCAGCCCCGTCTGCCACTCGCTGAGGAGAGGCCCACACGGACCATCTCCACCTCAGACCTGCAGTGCCTCGCCCGTGTTTCACACATACATGCCACACAGGGCCACGTGTGCAATCTGTATTCATCGATGAACCAAAAAAAAAAAAAAAAAGGTCCATTTTGATTCGCATCCTGTGACTTTTGTGTACTCACTGGAACAGGACATGCTCAGAGCCATGACTGATGCAGGGTTGTCACTCCTCATTCAAACAATTAGGAAAAACAGATGAAGCCAAGACTTCTTTCAGAGGAGAAAAGCTGGTGACAAGAGTGTGGGCTCTGGAGGCCCCGGCCCTGGATCTAAATCCTGCTCGGGGTCCGAGGTATGCACCTGAGCACGGGCCTCTCTGAGCCCCGGCCAGTGAGACAGGTCCACCGAGCAGCCTCATGGGGCTCACGGGCCCAGCCACTCCGCAGCACGTGGGATCTTCCCGGACCAGGGCACGAACCTGCATCCCCCGCATCGGCAGGCGGACTCTCAACCACTGCGCCACCAGGGAAGCCCTGGCTTTTCTTTCTTTGATGAAGATGAAGTCAGACTGGCTGACCGTCTAACTTGCAGTTGCGGGAAGAAAGCCTTGGTGGGGGGGGATTGATGGTCAACTCGGGTACACGGGGGGCACATGGTGCTGAGCCGCAAAGTCGGTACAGCTAGTGACGCGGACGGAAGCTGGGGGTGTTCGCAAGACACGTGACTTGGAGATACTGAGAGTTTACATCCTAACCCTGGTGGGGTGAAGGTCCCTTTGTGTGAGCTTCATTCCGGCTCTATATCTTGTGATCATCAAAGTGACCTGGATAGGGACTTCCCTGGTGGTCCAGTGGCTAAGACTCTGCGCTCCCAATGCAGGAGGCCCGGGTTCGATCCCTGGTCGGGGAACTAGATCCCACATGCATGCTGGAACTAAGAGTTCACATGCCGCAACTAAAGAACCCACGTGCTAAGACTAGGGAACCCGCGTGCCAAACTAAGACCTGGTGCAGCCAAATAAATAAATAAATAAAAAGAAGGACATTAATCAAAAAATGTTAATAATATTTTAAAAAAACACACACAACAAAGTGACCTGGCTAGTGTGAAGGTCCCTGGAAGACACCTGCCCTCAGACGTAATGTTATCGCACACTTAGAGTACAGTATAGTGTAAACATGAACTCTTATAAACACCGGGAAACCAAAACGTTCACGTGGCTCCCGTTATTGCGACATTTGCTTTATCAGGGTGGTCTGGGGCCAAACCCGGTCTGCCCGTGTGGAGAAAATATATTAAAATGTCAACTGTGGTTATCTCTCGGTTATGGAATTACGGGGTCATTTGTTTTATTCTTTGTCCTTTGCTGTAGTTTCTGGAAAAAAAACTGGAAAGGTTACATGAAAATTTTTGATAAAGAAAACAAATGTCTCCACCTGGAAGAACTGGAGCTGCTTTTCTAGGCTCCAGAAGAACGGGTGTTTCAGCACATGCTTCGCTGACGGGCGCTTCTGAGGATCCATTGCAATCATCTTCTCTATTAACTCCCGGGCAATAACGTCTTCTACAAAGGAGGAAAATAAACATGCGACTCGTTATTACCAGTCTAAAGCCACAAGCAAATACCCACAACCCTGACAGTCTGCATGCCCTGTGACTCAAGGTTCTACGGACAGGAACTCAATCCAATAACATAAGAGCTTGCACAAGACTTCAGCTAAGGAGAGTCCTCACTGTGCGGTTAGTGAAAAAGAGTGATTGGAAATACTCGATATCAGAGGCTCGGGTGACACCATTGCGCCTCCACGCGCTGGACTGTGGGCCACCAGGATGACGTGCTGGCTGAATGCGGACGGACGCAGAGAGAGTCAAGATGAAGTTTAAAAACGAGCGTGCTGCAAAATACTAGGCACTATTTAAGCCCATTTTTATAAAAATATGCATACATGTCTAGACAGATGATCGGAATAATAGATACAAGGGTGTTAGTAGCAGTCATTCATCACTGTATAATGGGATTCTAGCCTTTATGCTAATCTGTTTTGTCTCCAGGGAATAAGGAAAATTAATCCATGGGCAAAACAGTAAGATGGTTTAAAGTTTTTCAAAAGGCAACAGTGGGGTGTCACGGGCCAATTATAATGCGGGAAACCCTGAAGTCAGGCAGAAAGATTTGTCACCTGCGTGCCTGGAGAGCGAGGACCCAGCCCGTCTGTCCTCAGCCCAGGCCGCACGCGCTGACCACTGGCCCACACACGAGAGCCCAGTGTATGCAGCATGGCCTTTCTGTCTCCCCAAATGTCAGGGCAGGAAGGGACCTCAGATTATTTAACCCTCATGAGTCACAAGCTGGAAAACAGAGGTCCCCCAAGGGGGCCTTACCCAGGTCACACAGGTCATCGTGTGACCTGAAGGAACCTGGGAACTGCTTGGCTTTAGAAGGCGGTGCTTCGAGGACACCCTACCCAGCCCTCCACCAGCTCTGGACCCAGTCGTCATTTCACTGAGGCCCACAGGGCGAGCAGCTGGAAAGAAGGGCCTCTGGGGAGTCAGAGCCGGCCCCACCCCCGCCCGCAGGGGCCGCTCCCGAGGCCCCCCAGCCCTGCTGCCCGCTCACCGTGCTTCTCAGGGTGCAGGCAGTCCAGGCTGCAGGCGCCCAGGAGGATGTTGGCCTGCCGCTGCAGGGACTTGCCAAAAGGGTGGCTGCCCTCAGATATCACGTAGTAAAAGACGCAGCCCGCAGAGAAGATGTCCACCGTGTAGGTCTGAAAAGAAACTCGGGGCATCAGAGGGCTTCAGGGGAGAATTCTCATTCTAACTCAGCAGCAGAGGAGGGGGTTGTTGCTGCTGATTCTTCCACCTAGAAGGTGCCTTAGGAGAGCCGGCTGAAAGTTCTGATGGCCTCAGAGCAGTGCTGGGTGCCCTGCAGGTCCCACCCGAGTGCTGGAGGTCCCAGTGGAGAACTGGGCTCTGGACCCAATGCCTGCGATGCCTGCTGGCCCTGCCACTGGCCCTCGGAAGCCCCCTGGTCACTCTGCGCCTCAGCGTCCATGACCACGAAACGAGGATGACCCCATGGGGCTGTTGTGAAGATTAGATGCACACGTTAAGTGTGAAAACGGTGGCTCAAACCAGTGCTCGGCCCACAGGACGCTCTCTCCTTGCTGCTAGTTATTCTTCACCCAACCAGCATGCAACTCCTCGTGGGCAGGAATTTCTGTGCGTTTGCTTCCCTGTTGTCCCCCCAGGGACTTCCAAGGTGCCCACATATGACAGGTCTTAACACTGGGTTAATAAACGAAATAAAACCAGTTTTTGGTGGGAATACCTTGGTGGTCCAGTGGTTAGGACTTTGCACTTTCACTGCCGAGGGCGCGGGTTTGATCCCTGGTCAGGGAACTAAGATCCCACAAGCCACGTGGCGTGGCCAAAAAAAAAAAAAAAAAAGTTTTTGGTTCAAAATCAGTCCCAGAGAACATATGTATATGTATAACTGATTCACTTTGTTATAAAGCAGAAACTAACACACCATTGTAAAGCAATTATACCCCAATAAAGATGTTAAAAAAATAAATAAAATAGACAAAAAAAAAACCCAAAAACAGTCCCAGAAGAAGATTAGTTAACAAATTTCCAGTGAGCTCACTTTGATGTTATCTAATACCACGTCTCACTTATCCCGTGAAACCATTCCATGCCTACAGATGAAATGTGTGTGTATGACGCCTAGCATGTCTACATGGGGTGTTACACTGGGATGGCTCCCGAGCACGGCGTGGGTCCCTCACGTCAGGCCCCGCCACTCGGATTCTCCACCAGACAACGTGAGGCTCTAGCGAGAGAAAGCCAGGAGCTCGTCGCCTTCCTCACTGGAGAAAACACACCCTTCACAAGAGCCCTGTGAGGTGAGCAGAGCAAATGTCACCATCCCCAGATGAAGACACGGACAGAAAGGCTCAATGACAAGCCCAGGGTCACTGCTGGATAGCGACAAACCAGGACAAGATGCAGGTCTTATTCCCGAGCCCAGTCATCTTTGTTCTACTTCATCAGAATGTTCCTTAGGTGGGTGACAGATTCAGGACAGGAGGAACAAGTCCACCACCACTGAAGCGCTCACCTGGTGGCCACTTCTCACCTACTGACTGTGTCGTTAATGCTCTCCGTTTTCCGTTTCCTGCAGCCCAGGCTGCCTGACTCCCCAGCATCCTTACCACTCATGCTGCCCCCTGGGGGCTTGCGTCCCACATGCTGGGCCCCTCTGCCCCCAACCCTATGGGCTCATCTCTAGGCTCAGTTATGTTCTTTCCCAAACTCATTTCTGCCACTTGTCCTTGTAGTTTAAATACTCCATAAGCTGATAGAATACACGGGCCGCCAAGTCTGAGGTAAGCTGAACCTTTGGAAAGACTCAATGCGAGGGAGTTGCTACAAAAACGGCTGTGGAATTAGATGTGGGAGACTCAACTGTAAGCGACAGGACATAAATAGCTGAAAGCTAGGATTCTGCTTTCGAATCGCTTAGGGGGCGTCTGAAATGTCTGAGTCTCGATCTAGAAGTCACAGAAGCATGTGAGTATGCTGCAGACAAGAGGGGAAATGAACAACTCCATCCAGCTGGACCCAAGTCAAAAAAAAAGATCTTGTCTTACATCAAAGACTTCCTTAAAGAGTCACATTACTTACTTTAAGTCAAAATAACATGTTTAAGGTGTGTATGTATTTCCTTATGATTTTTCATCGTAACTGACCTTTTTGATTAACTGACCAGCTGCGGTCCCCAGTGAGTAGGATAAGAGGCTCCACTGAATCTAATCTATTTTAGGATGGCTGATCCCATCCAGGTCTGATCGGGGAACGCCAGATAATCCTCCAATGTCTTACTGGGCTGGAAAGCAAGGTGCTCAAACACGACTGGGCTCTCAGCAAAAGGATGCAGAAGCCAGCGTGAAGGGGCTCCTGTTGGCCAAACTGGAACAATCTGAGTACCAAAAGGAATAGGAACAAAACCAAAAACAAACAAAAATGAGTAAGGACTACAATGGATTATACTGCTATTTTTTTTTAAATCCATGAGTCCACAGAGAGAGAGAGAGAAAAGGAATATAAATAAAGTTCTTCTTTACAGAAAAATGTCAGCTAATAAATGTAGACTTTCTACTGAATGCAGTGATTCAGGCAAGGATTGCCACTGGATGCTGAACCATCAGGTGAGTGACTGTTGGTAGTGGGATATTCACACTCTGCCAGAGTATCGCCCCACACAGTCCTAACAAAGGGGAGATGCCAGTGTCACCGCCTGCACCAGTGGCTTCAACTCGGCCTCACCATTAGGGATGCAGTAATGGTACAACCCGCCTGGGACTGTTCTTACCAAAAACACTTAACTTGAATCTAGTCAAGCCCTTAGACCTATGTCTAGTTCACAGGAATACAAGGAACAGGCAAGTTAAATACCACCAAGAGGAAATGAGTGAGCGAATCCCGAGTGAGGCATTCTACAGAGAAGTGCCCCGACTCTGCAAAGAGCCACCGTCGTGGGACAAGAAAGCTGGGAGAACTGTGTTGATGAAAGGAGACCGAATCAAGCGCCATGTAACAAACACACCTAATTGGGTCCTGCTTTACAGAAACCAGCTCTACAAGAGACATTGGGTGAACACCTGGGGAAACTTGAATATGCATTGAACACTAGGTATCAATGGAAACAGTATTAATGGCTGAGGTGTGAGCATGGGTAGGTGGTCAGGAGGTAGAAGGTACCTGTCCTTGGGAGGCGCGTGCTGACGTGTTTAAGGTAAAGGGCTGGGAGTCCTGCCACTCATATTCGAATGGTTGCAGGAACAGACAGAGAGTGAAAAATACGGACGAATGTTGAATCTAGGTAGAGGTACAGAGGTATTCACTGCTCTCAATTTTCTGTATGTCTAAAAATTCTCAAAATAGAAAGCTGGAAAAACAAAAACAAATTAAAAACAGAATGAAAACTGGAAGTTTGCTCACCTTACGCAAGTCCTGATTTTCCAGTTGCCCAAAATAGGGGGGGAAAGGATTGGAAGAGTACGGGGGAAAAAAACAGACAACTGCCTACATTCACCCCTTTCATTCCTCTGGACAGGAGACAGTGTTAGAGTGCCGGCAGAGTGCTGCTGGGGGAGAAGCTCTCCGCTACAGAAACGTCCCTCTCCGGCAGTGAGTGCTCCAGCCCGCCCCCCCCCCCCTCCCCGGGCCTGGAGGCTCTGAATCCCCCGGGAACAAGAGGCTGCTTCCGCAGTTTTCACAGAGCCACGCCTACACTCACGGGGTTCTCCTTGCAGTCTTCGCTCAGCATCTCCGGGGCGATCCAGCCTTCTGTGCCGGGTACCCCTGAGCGGCGGCTGAAGCTGTGTCTGCCCACTGCCAGCTTCTTACAGAGGCCGAAGTCGGAGATCATGGCCTTGATCCTGCCGTGTGCGCTGGGCATGGAGAGGAGGATGTTGTGTGGCTTCAGGTCTCTGTGAACTAACACAAAACTCCAGGTTAGTCCCGTGCTTGGACTCCTTCTGCGACGGGGATGGGCCCTCCTCAGATTCTCAACAGACCCGCTGCTGCCTGTAAAGGTTCTGGCTCTCAAATGTGTTAAGTCCTCTCTTTCTTCAACAACAGGGACCCCGTGAGGCAGCAAAGAGCTTCGACAGAGGCAAGGCCCACCTGAGCAAGTTGTCCCCCCGCCTGATAAGGGGAGGCTTCTCACCGATGTTGAGGGAGTGCAGGTGGGCCAGGCCCGAGGTGGTCTGCTGCAGCAAGGTGATGGGCTCCAGGCCGAGGTGGGCAAAGTCTTTCTGCTCCACGTACTGCAAGAGACACGAAGGCTGGGTCACGGCACAGGGCCCTCAGGACTTCGCTCCTCAGCATACCTTCTCTCTCTCTTTTTTTTTTTTGCGGTACGCGGGCCTCTCACTGTTGTGGCCTCTCCTGTTGCGGAGCACAGGCTCCGGACGTGCAGGCCCAGCGGCAAAGGCCCACGGGCCCAGCCGCTGCGCGGCATGTGGGATTCTCCCGGACCGGGGCACGAACCCGTGTCCCCTGCATCGGCACGTGGACTCTCAACCACTGCACCAGCAGGAAAGCCCTCTCTCTCTTTTTTTAAGTGATTCAATTTTATTTAGAAAAATTCGGCCCGAAGGTTTTTGCTTTAATAAACATTTGGTATCGGGTCAGCTCGTTTTCTTTGATCATATTTTAACAAACAAATGGGAAGTTTTACTGACAATATTCTCCGTTCAAATCCGTATTTTCCTGCAGACTTTCTTTTCCCCTGAAAGACTGACTTAAACAAGCAAACAAACAAAGCTCCAGCTTACTAGTTTATAATGAGATGACGAGAGGGGAAGGAACCCAAGTTCACTGCCTCCTACAGGTAAGCCTGCAATGAAGCCAAATGATACTGAAATATCACAGTTGCACAGCCTGGAAACTGCGCAAAAGGGGTTCAATGGATTATCTTAATGACTCAAGTCATCAACTAGCATCCCCCTAGCCCACACCAGCCCTGACCGGCGAAGGGAGGAAGGATTGACCAGGTTTCCTGGAGGCCAAGAGGGAGAGAGGTACCAACTGCAACCACAGACTGCCCCGGGCAGCCGAGGGGACCACACAACTAAATCTGGGGAGAGGGAAGTACTCTACATTTCCACTGTTGGTGGTTAAAATGGGTACATACCCTTGTCAGCATGCATCAAACCATACATTGAAAACGAATACGTTGTATTGTAACCTCAGTAAAGTTACTAAAAAGAAATTTAAAAAATAAGGAAACTGGCAGTCCCTAAAACTGCACCCGAGCTGCCGGGAGAAGGGAGCCGACGGTGGCGCTGGCAGAGCCGTCGGTGACCTGGGGCCACCCACCTCCTGCAGGGTGGCCGCGCACAGCTCGATGGCGATGTACTGGAACTGCCGGTCCCTCTCGGTGCAGAAGTAACGGATCACGTTTGGGTGCTCGTCCGACTCTCGCAGCAGCTGGACCTCACGGTCTGCGAAACTAAAACACTCGGGGAGGATCCTCTTGACGGCCACGTCGCGGTTGTCAAACATGCCACTGCAGGACGAGGAGCGGGGTTGGCTGTGGAAACGCCAGGAGAACCCTGGGCCTGCGGGACTCCTTCCACCTGATGCAGCGTCTGCCTCGAAGGCCTCACAGCCTGGGGGGCCCTGACCAACCGCCCAGCGGCCCCAGGGCCATCACTTCCCCCTGTGGGGAACTCTTCCATCTGGTCACTGCGATAACCCCACTGTGCCCCTGGAGCCGATGGGAGCTTGCACGTGAGGTGGTGAAGGCTCAGGGCTCTCCAGGCCACTCACCGGTACACAATTGTGCCCTCGGCTCCGTGGCCCAGGACGTCCTTCGGACAGAATGAGATTTTCCCAACTATCACCATGCTGGTTTCCTCATCTGGGACAGAACAGAAAAAAGGACAAACATAACCTAACAACCTTGAGGCTAGAGTGGCTACAAGCTTCCTGAGCTCAGACTGAGGGGCCCTGGAGAGCAGGAGCTGCTGGGCCCCCTCCGCAGTCACGCCCAGGCCACCTCCTCGCCTGCCCCTGCCCTCTGTCCCAGCTTTTACTTTCACTACTGTGAGGTCAGAAGCCTGAAGACAGGTCTTCTCTACAGATCCACCCAAAGGTCTGCACCGGAAACATGCAGGGAGTGCCGGGGGACGCGTGAGATGGAGAGACCAGTAGCAGAGTGTCCAGCCTGAGACTCAGGACTCAGGTCTCCTGCACTGGTTCCACATCAATCCCCTCAGATGATCAGCCCTGACCGCCGGCCTGAGCCCCCCTCCCGCACGAAAGCAGACCAACAGCTGCACCTTTGCACGTGGCCACCGGCCTGCCTCAGGGGTGCTTTCGAACCAGAGGGCTAGTGCACCTCGGGTCAGCAGCGACTCTCAGCCCTCTGTGCAGCAAGATGGAGGGAGGGGCACGGTGGCTTCCTCTGTGGGGCAGAGGCCTCGGGATGGGGCAGAAGCCCCGCCCCCGGAGTGGGGGGGGAGGGGGTGAGACCTCGGTGAACCCTTGGGAACAGCACTTCATAATCCCGTGGAGACCCCCAGGAAAGGCATGGGGCTTTACGGTCCTCAGGTCGTGCTCCAGAGAAAGAGAAGGCGGCACCAAAATGGCAACTCGCTTTACCCTCGTCATCCTGCTCCGGGAAGGGGCTGGTGGCAGCCCTGGAGGTGGAGCCGCTGGAGTGGAGCGAGTGGTTGGAGGCTCTGGGGGACGTGCTGGGGCTGCTGGTGGCCGAGCTCTCCGAGTACTGTCCGCACGAGTCCAGGAGGTCGGTGTCCTGAGCTGCGACATCTCCAGGTGGGTGGAAGGGCAGTTGCTGCTGTTGCAGGAGCTGGATCTTCTCCAGTTCCTTCTGAAACTGCTGGTGCTGGAGCTGCCGCTGCTGACGTCGGCTCTGGGAAGAGAAACCCACAACCCGGCCAGTGCAGCCCAGCGCCCAGCGCGCAAGCGGGCGGGACAGGGCAGGCTCCTGCGGCGGAGGAAGAGGGGACACTGAGGTGACCCCACGGGGCAGGACGAGACCAGTGAGAAGGCCGCGGGGGGCAGAACGTGGTCAGCGATCGGAGCTCTTCCTGCCAGTTAGACTTCCCAGTACAGCCCATCCCCCAACTGGAAGGGCCCTACAGGGGCAGCAGAGGAGGATTCCACTGGAGGTGGAGGGCTGGGCCAGATGGAGGGGGGTTCCAGTCAACTCTACAATTCTGGGACTTTTATGAAAGTCTGGGGGACTTCCCTGGCGGTCAAGTGGTTAGGACTCCACACTTTCACTGCCGAGGGTGCGGGTTCAACCCCTGGTCGGGGAGCTAAGACCCTGCATGCCCCACGGTGCGGCCAAAAAAAAAAAAAAAAAAAAAAAAAAAATCCACAAAAGTCTGGGAATTGTTGCAAGAGTGAAACCAAACAGGAAGAATGGGTACCAGGTGGCTGAGAGTGTGGTGGACACAGGGAAGACCCAGGCTTGCTGTCTACCATGGCCGTGCACATGACAGAGGTTGGTGCACAGATCACCAGCAGTGCAGAGGCGGGGACGCCACTGGGGCTCGGGGCCGCCTGGCCATCTGCCCACAGCTGCACAGCCAGGATGTGGCAGAGCGGGGCTGAAACACAGGGAGCCTGGCCGAGGTCCCACTCCCATTTCATCATGCTGCCTTCCCCACACCCCACACTCTTCTCATTTAGTCTGTACAATTCATTCCATCATACTTTGAAGTGGCAGCGACCTGTGATTATTAATTACTACCCCATGCGTGGGAAGGTGGCTGCAGGGATGGGTGTGTAGCCAACACCCGCCTGGGAGTTTTCTAGAGATCTTGCTCTCTTTCTTTCAACTTGGGTTGTAATCCTGGAAATTCCATCTACTAGCTGAGTTACCTCGGGAAAGTTATTTAACTTCCCAGAGTCAAGTTTCTTTATTTGTGGGTAGGGGATAGATAAGAATAAGAACTGGGTGAGGCTAAAAAAAAAAACAATGCAAGTGGACACATTTTGAGTACCACGAAGGGCCTGTCATCCTCATTCCTCCACGGGGATGTGAGCTTTTGGAGCACTTGTGTTCTGAGGTGGTAAGGTTTCAATGCTCCAAGCATCTTCATGAAAGAATATTTCTCCAGGGAATTCCCTGGCGGTGCGGTGGCTAGGACTCTGTGCTCTCACTGCCGAGGACCCAGGTTCAATCCCTGGTCGGGGAACTAAGATACTGTTAGCTTTAGCTGTGTGGTGAGGCAAAAAAAAAAAAAAAAAGAAAGAAAGAATATTCCTCCAGAATATTTTATCCAACCCACAACCTACTCAACTATGTAATTTTAGCCACTTATTTCCAACTAGAAAGTCGAAGGAATAACCGTGCCGCCTTTCTCACTCTATCTGATATCTCTAACAGGCAGGTTTCTTTTTTTTTTTTTAAGATTTTTAAAATTTTTAATGTGGACCATTTTTAAAGTCTTTATTGAATTTGTTACTATATTGCTTTTGTTTTATGTTTTGGTTTTTTGGCTGTGAGGCATGTGGGATCTTAGCTCCCTGACCATGGATCAAACCCTCACCCCCTGCACTGGAAGGCAAAGTCTTAACCACTGGACCGCCAGGGAAGTCCCTAAACAGACAGTTTTTAAGGGAGGAAAGCTTAATAACAGATTTTCATGTATTATGTGTAGTCTTAAAAAAAGAAAATACAGTTTTTAAAATGATTTGCAAGCAAGGTTTCCAAATCAGTTTTTACAGTCAAACTATAAGGTGTAGGTACAAAATTGTCCTTTCCTGAGAAGTGAGTGTCTCTTTAATGACAATGTTTTTGAAGATAAGCCAATATTGACTTTTAAGTGGGAAAAGAAATGTATTTGCTTCTTTGCCACCTTTGTCTGGACCTCACTAACATCGAGTGATGGGCAAAGGTTCAGAAACACGTGGGAGGGGAAAGGGAAGGCGTGGAGCTTTACCAGGGGGTAGGTGATGATGAAGGCCACCCAGCCAATGAGCAGGAAGGTGCTCAGGATGATGGTGGCCATGTCCTTGAGCATGGAGTCCACGGGGGCCTCGGGCCTGGGCGGGGCATGAGCGAACTTCTCTTCCACATCTGGAGAAACTGTGGTAGGTGCATTTTCTGAAGTCTGGTCAACCAGGTCGATAACCTTGCATGGGAGAGAGTGGCGACATCACTGCACAATTTCTAGTCAGATATAAATAAGCCAAACAACAAAGAGAGGCAATGACTATGTACAAGGAATGACTACGCTGTGAAACATGCTGGATTGTTTAAAGCCCACCCCAAGACCACAAACCAGATAATTGCTGCCTTTTTCAAAGCAACTGCCTTGGGAGGCTATGCACTCTTGCAGTGATAGTATCATTACTCAAAAACGGTTTTTAGAGAAACACTTTTGAAAGTGCCTTCAGATACTATATTCTTTTGAAAATCCTTATTAAAGGCAAAAACATCCTTTCATGGTAGATCTGATGTTTGGGGGAACTCTGAACTCATAGGTAACAAGTCTGGCGGAAGGTTGGTAGTCAATTTGGTAACAGCATTTCACATTAAAAAGGAAAACCGCACGCGCGCACACACACATACACACACACACGCACATGCGCGCGCACACACAGCTACAAAGTAATAAAGCAGCTTTCTTGTGTTGTTTGTAAACTTTCAGTGCAACTCCAAACACAAAATCACGTATTCAAACAGTCCACTATTTTTCAAAGTTTTTAGAAAGCATCAGAACCCTCTGTTAGAGCCCCGAATTAACTCAGATAAAGTGGAGCTTCTGCCGAAGCACCTCAGAATCTCTAGGACTTCAAGAAAAATGCACTGATTTGTTCTCAAACATCTGCTGTTCCAGGTGTGCCATTATCACTTGCTGGTGAAATGCACACACAGCCTCCTTGGCGTCCCACACGTTCACAATGTTCACCGCCCAGACTAACGCAGTGCCCTGCCTCCCTCTCCTGCAGCCCCTCCCGCAGGGCGCAGGGGTCTGTGGCTGGTGGCAGCCGAGGAATGTTTGCTGAACACGTGACCAGAGACAACACTCATTTAGTTATATTTGCTCACGTGTGTTTGTTTTAAAAAGTTAGTCTTATTACCAGATAAATGCACCTCAGAGTACTTTCATGGACTTTTAAAGGACTCTGTTCAAAATTAAACGATGAAACAGGAAAATCTCAACTACAGCCATCTCTGGGTGTTCGGTTACGGGTATTGTTTAATTTTCTTCTTTAAACTTTTATTATTTTCTAAGTGTTCAATAACAAATACGCTTGGCTTTAATCAGATCAAAATCAGATCAAGATTTTAGGGCGCCAGTGCTATCTCCAACCTGGCTCCCTCCAGAGATGCGGGACAACTCAGCGCACCCTGGAATCTTAAACATCCATGTGATTTTCTTCTCCTTTCTCTCTGGATAAAATCTAAATCTCTAATGCGAATCTGACGCCATCACAGCCCTCACATCAGCCAGCCGCTCCCCTGCTCCTCTGACCCTGCCCACGGCCCCTTCTCAGGCCGGGACCGCACAGCAGGGCTGCAGGAGCCGCCAAGCCCGAATGGTTGGACCCCCAGCCCGGCTCCCACAGCCACCCTCCAGCCTCCCCACTGCTCCATGCCCCAGAAGGCTGCCCACCTGGGCAAAGCGATGGGCTCCCTGCCCCCAGTTTCCGGCAAGGACACCAGCAGATGAGACAGAGCTGGAGCTCTGTGGGGCTGCCAAGCGTCTCATCTGAAGCTCCAGGCTCCTGGTTTGGGGCCCGATCCACTCCCTCCCCACACGCTTCAGGCCCAAGTACGCTCAGAGAACCCCAGAACTGCCCACAGTGTGAATGAAAACTCCCCTCGAATCCCCCTCCAGGCCCTTACCTCTGCATGCTCCCCTCCAGCGCCCCCTGCCTCTCCCACAGCCTCCCGGAAGCCCCCTTCCTCCCTGTCAGTCCTCAGCACTTTGTTTGCTGTGGATTCCCGTGTACCACTCTCCCCTCCTGAGTGGACTGCAGGCTCCAAAGGCAGGACAGGGCTTCCCTGGTGGTCAGTGGTTAAGAATCCGCTTGCCAATGCAGGGGACACAGGTTCGAGCCCTGGTCTGGGAAGATCCCACATGCCACGGAGCAACGAAGCCTGTGCGCCACAACTACTGAGCCTGCGCTCTAGAGCCCGCGAGCCACAACTACTGAAGCCTGTGTGCCTACAGCCCGTGCTCCACAACAAGAGAAGCCACCGCAATGAGAAGCCTGCACACCGCAACGAAGAGTAGCCCCTACTCGCCGCAACTAGAGAAAGCCCGCGCGCGCAACTAAGACCCAACGCAGCCAAAAATAAATAAATAAATAAATTTATAAAGGCAGGACAAATGCCTTATCCCCCAGCACCTGACACGAGGGGCCACCAATTGACTGTCCACTTCCCCACTCACCTCCTCAAAGCTCTTTTTCTCTGAGTCAGCAGGAATCACATTTTCCCGGTGTTTGGGCAGATTGTTGGGGAATCGCTCCAGCATCTTGGTAGATGCAGACAGTGGGGTCTCGTGGTGTCCTGTGAGAGGAAGCACAACCTCTCATGAGAACAGTTTCTCCACACAGTGGTTGCGCTTGACCCACTAAGCTTAAGCAACTGTCACTCCCCAGTGAGGGGCCCACGATGCAGACGCTCACATTTGTAAAGTGAGAGAAAGCGGGAGGCAGTGACAAGAGAAATTCCATCAAGACAGAACTTTTATTCCTCAATGGCATTAGTGCAGTATTCTGAATCTCACAACAAGGAGCAAAGAAGTGTCCTTGTCACGAGAGGGATCGGGATGTCCAGGGCACGTTCAGAGCAAGGCTCGTGTGGATAATCCCTAATCAAGGCCATACACTGTGAGGCACTATGAAGCTTCATCAAAAGCTCAGGGAGGGGCTTCCCTGGTGGCACAGTGGTTAAGAATCCGCCTGCCAATGCAGGGGACACGGGTTCAAGCCCTGGTCCGGGAAGATCCCACACGCCGCGGGTAAACTAAGCCTGTGTGCCACAACTACTGAGTCCACATGCCACAGCTACTGAAGTCCATGTGCCTAGAGCCCGTGCTCCACAAGAGAAGCCACCGCAGTGAGAAACCCGTGCACCGCAACAAAGAGTAGCCCGCACTCGCTGCAACTAGAGAAAGCCTGCGTGCAGCAACAAAGACCCAACGCAGCCAAAAATAAATAAATAAATAAAATAAATTTATCAAAAAAGATATTGTCCAAAAAAAAAAAAGAAAAGCTCAAGGAGTTCTCCCTTCAACGCTGACCCCTGTCACATCACTCCACTAAGGGTACCAAGTCCCCATCTCGGTGTTTAAATCGCACAGGTGGAGTTCTATTCCCACTACCTAAACACGAGCTTCCCTCCTGGGAAGTGGTGAATTATTCAGAAGACAGCACGTTTGCTGGATGGATTGGGGATCCCGGATCCCTGTTTGTTCCTTCACTGTTCCCCACACAACTATTTCAAGGCTGCCTAGCAGTCATTCACTACACGTTTATTGAGCATCTACTGTGTGCGAGGGACAGAGCTAAATAAAATAAAAGCAACAGGGCTTCCCTGGTGGCGCAGTGGTTGAGAGTCCGCCTGCCGATGCAGGGGACGCGGGTTCGTGCCCCGGTCCGGGAGGATCCCACATGCCGCGGAGCGGCTGGGCCCGTGAGCCATGGCCGCTGAGCCTGCGCGTCCGGAGCCTGTGCTCCGCAATGGGAGAGGCCACAACAGTAAGAGGCCCGCGTACCGCAAAAAAAAAAATAAATAAAAAAAAAAAAAATAAAAAAAAAATAAAAGCAACAATATTTGATAAGGCTGGACGATCTCTTTAGTTCTGAAGTTAAACGACTCCACACACCGCCCAGAAGAGCCAGTCACTCTCTCAAGCTGGGCTCTCAGCACCCTGACTGCTTTCTTCTCTGTTCTCTCACAGCAATCAGATCTCACCTTAATTCCAGTCTCACCCTATATTCTGTCCTCTGTTCTCCCAAACCTATCAAAGATTGTATGGTATGTATTTCCAAGACAAAAACAAACAAGAACTAGTCCGAGCTACATACATTTCTCATCCGGAGAAAGCCCCTTGAACTCCCTCTCTGTGGGTCAGTTCTCTGTCTGTGCCATAACACTGTTCGCTAACGGAAGCCTAAACTTGTTTTGAGCCACCACCAAGTTCCCCTTGTCTTCCAAGGAATGCTGAGACGGCGGGATATCCTGAACTGGTTGCCCGCTTCAGACCTCTGATTCGCACTTGCTGGTGGGGCCCAGGGATCTGACCAGGAGGCTCTCCAGGTACCTCTGAGGCTCACTAACAGGAGACCGTCTCGCTAAGAGCAATGAGGGGTCCCCTCCACACACCACCTTGCACTGCAGCGCCCGCTGCTCTAAGAGCTCCAAGTCCCACCCCTCGGCAGGGCGCCAGAAGGGGTTAGCCCGAATCCCCTCTTCGTCCTGTAGTCTTTGTAAGCAGGCCTCCCCTGTAGTGGGGCCTTTAGCAATACCTTGGAGCGCACCCTGAACCGGCTGTGCTATAAATGTAATCATGAGCTCCTGAAACACTTCTGTACAAACAGAACCTGGTCTTAGTGATGTATCTGTCACCATCCAATAATGTCCAGGCTCCAGAGCTGAAAGCACAGGCCCTGCCCTGAACCTCCTGGATCAGGAGCTCCAGGGGTCATGCGTGTCTATCTGACGTAGGTCCCAGGTGAAGCCGAGAGCACCCCAGGTTAGGGCCACTGCTCTGGGGTAACCCACAGACCACACCACTCAAGCCTGGAGAACTCGTCTTATTTTCAAGATTAAGGTGAATGTGAGGATATCCTTAATGTCGTCCACAATCACCAAATCAGAGGACATATTTGGACATAAACCAGCATATCCTTTTACCCGTGGCCCTCAGTCTACACAAAATTATCACTCAGTCCCACTACCTTATTTAGAAAAGACCAGCTTTGAAGTTTCTCAAAAGGACTTTCCGAACTGTGGGGCACATCCCTAATTACTTCTTTATACCTTGTTGGGTTTCTCAGTTTTCTTACTTGGAAAACCTTTCCATTTTAAAAGGATATCATTTCGGGACTTCCCTGGCGAACCAGCGGTTAAGACTCTGCGCTTCCACTGCAGGGGGCACAGGTTCAATTCCTGGTTGGGGAACGAAAGATCCTGCATGCCGCAAGGTGCGGCCAAAATAAATAAATAAAATAAAAGGATATCATTTTGCAACTGAGCCATGAAGACTTTCTCTGGATTTTTTTTGGTCTCACACATTTCCTCAGTTTCCAAAATTTTTTCACTTCTTAACCACTGGTAGACAATGTATCCCTTAACTGCTTCATAAAACTAAGTGGCTCTGTGATTTCAATGGCCTCTGCCCATCCGTTCTTTTTTTCCTCCACTTTGGGCCCATTCACCCACACTTTCCGAACTAATTCTGTTCAAAAAAGGGTAGAAGTATTTTGTTACCTCCTCTGCTCATTATTTGGTAAAAATAATAACCAGAAGAAAAACAGCTGTAAGGAGTCAGGATGAACAAAGGACAACAAGGCCTGGACGACTACAAAGCAACCGATCGGGGCTCCAGGACATCCAGTTTCCTTCCTCCCTGTGATGCCCAGTTACACCCCCCCCATCCAGATGCCACCGGCTGGCTACCTCCTAGCCCTACAGTGTCCCAGGCGGCTCCACACCCCTTTTCCAGCGCCCCCAGGCCTGACCTCTCTCTGCCCTGGTCCCAGTCGACACGAGCACTGAGCAACCACCAAGCACCACGGAGCACCACCGCACCGGGAGAGAATGGGGAGGACAAAGCTCATTAGCGCCTGCGTGCTCCAGCACCTCCTCGGGGCTGCATCCCCACCTCTCCCCGCCTCTGGCGCTGGGAGACGGCAGAATTGGGGAGGGGGCTGCCGCACTGGAAAGGCAAGTCCGGTCAAGAAAACTCCGTCCTGCTCTAATTACTTGGGACACTTGCCAGACACATAGCTCCTGTCACCTCTGCCTGCATCGGTCACACTCGCTGCCTTCCGGTGTCATCTCAACTTCTTATCACTGATGGTGGCAGAAACGGAAGAGAAGGAAAAAGGGACCACCCCAGGGACTTCCCTGCTGGTCCAGTGGATAAGACTCCACACACCCAACGCAGGGAGCACAGGTTCAATCCCTGGTCAGGGAACCAGATCCCACATGCATAACGCAACTAAGAGTTCACATGCCACAACTAAGATCCCACGTGCCGAAACTAAGACCCAGCACAGCCAAATAAATAAATAAGTATTTTTTTTAAAAAAGGGACCACCCCACACACCCGGGACTTCTGCACCCAAGTCCAGCCTCCGACCCTTCACCACCCTCAATCCCTCCTGGGTCTTCCACCCTTTCCTTCCCCAGCCCCTCCTGCCTACGCCCACACCAACTCCCAAGTGACTCCTTCCACAGAAACTGCCTGTTTTCTTAACTCTACGTGGATATACCAAGGGTGCTGACCTTGCACAGGGTCACTGTGAGAAATAAGGAAATATCCTAGAATGCTGACTGCCAGTGCCCGGCATGCCCCAGACATCCAACATGTGTCAGGTCACTGCACAAAGTTTACACTATTTAGTACTGGAGTTTTGGAACATTAGACAAATGATTTTTGAGAACTGACTTGGTAACACAGCTAGCCTGTTTATTTTCCTTGGGGGTGAAATATTCCAAGGTCTGAAAGACCAACTTGGACATGAACTGAGCACAGAGCTGACTGTTAACTAGCAATGTCGGCTCTTGGCCACCAGGAGGCAGCATGGCGTCACCACGGCCACGAGGAGCCAGCTCTTACCGATGAGCAGCCAGTAGTTGTGCAGGTAGTTGAGCTTGCTCTTGCCTTTGAGCCCAGGGTCGAACTTCAGGTCCGTGCTGGGCGTGATCACACACTCCCCTTTGTCCCCGATGGTGACACCGTCGGTCTGGGGTCCTTCCAGCAAAGGAAGGGTGCTGCCTCGGGGCTGGGAAGACAGACTGGAGTGAGGCTGGGGGTGCCCATGTGGACAGCAGTGTGCCTGCAACTGTCCTAAGCACGCGGTCCTATTGTGGGGCTGGTCAGGAAGGCAGAGCAGGACTCCAAGGCCCCAAGACTGGGCAGGAGCAGCCCCTCCCTCAGGACGTGACAACGCTGAACTGAAAATGCGGGGTACTTCCCTGGTGGTCCAGTGGTTAAGACTCCGAGCTCCCAATGCAGAGGGCTTAGGTTCGATCCCTGGTCAGGGAACTAGATCTCGCATGCTGCAACTAAGACCTGGCACAGCCATATAAATAAATAAATATTTTAAAAAATAAATACATAAATAAAATAAAATTCCGATGTCTTTTATTTATGTATTTATTTTGGCCACACCGCGCAGCACGCAGGATCTTAGTTTCCCGACCAGGGATTGAACCTGTGCCCCTTGCAGTGGAAGTGCCGAGTCCTAACCACTGGACCGCCAGGGAAGTCCCTCGGACGTCTTTTTAAACGTGGACATCTCTTTAAATGTGGGAACTGGGAAACAGGAAGGGTGTGTGTGGAATTCCAAGAGGCTACTGTGAGAAGCAGATATAAGGGAAGGAGTCACACATGATACAAGTGACCAGGGTGGGAAAGCTCTAGCCACGAGCCCGGTGCTGCCTCGGGCACCGCTGGACCCAGGCAGGCGCTGCCCTGACACGGGAGCAGAGGACTGGCTCACTGTGAAGACAGGAGATGCCAACCAAACAGTTCAAACGTCATAAGGACCAAAACGGCGGCTGGGACTGTGATGCCTCAGACACTCAGAGACTGAGCGCCTGAGGCAAACTGGTGAGGTCCCAGGAGGCTGGACCGGTCACGAAAGGATGGACAGGATTTGAAGAGGAAAAAAGGAACACGGGAGAGCATCTGAGGTGTGAGGCGCAGCCTGAACAAGGGAACTCTTGGAACTCAGGGAGAGGATGGACAGTGCAGCCCCACAGAGACACTGGCCGTGTGGCAGTGGACGGGTGTCGCGGGGCTGGCCTAAGGGGAGCGTGAACCCCAGCTGGGGAGTCTAGACTTGAACCTGAAAGCCAAGGGGAGTAACCGGGGCTTCCTAGGCTTAGGAAGCTGCTTTAGTCATGTGCATCTCTTCTCATGAGGTACTGACAGACGTGGTACACGTAGGAACTGTTTCCGAGGATGTTAAGATCTGTGTCCTGCATTCTCAACTAACAGGATGTTCATATATAATTCATTCGTTCGTTGCTAAAATGGCACAGGAGTGTTTCGGAGGCTGCATTTATGAGCCCCCCCGCCCCGCACAGTGGACTCACCACAACGGCGACCCCCTCGTGTACCATTGAGGGGGAAGCGTAGAGGCTGGTAGAGTATTTCCCCACATACAGGGTGGGCCTAGGAGACAAACAGATACATGCATTCCACTGTCATTTAATTTCTGGACCCCACAAAAGGGGGCTCTTTGGAGAGAAGAATCACAGCCCCGAATCCCACTCCTAGGAGGAAGCACATTAACCCCCGAGGCTCTCAGTACCAAGACAGGGTACTGCCCTGGGAACCAGGAAAGCGGGACTGCGGGGCCCGCGGTCACTGATGCCTTCGAAGCGTGCACAGGCCACCTGCCTGCCAGCCGGGGTTTCCTCATCTGCAAATGGCGGGGCTGCGCTAGCTCACCCCCGCGACAGCCTGAGGCAAGGACCACGAGCGACGATCACCCGGGAGAGACTGGAGGCTTGTAACCATGGCACAGCCTCCAAGACGGCCCGACCAGGGTGCTCTGACAACTGAGCTGCCACCAGAATCCCCACTGCAGTGTCTTGTGGGTCCTAAAGATTCTAGAGGTTTTACAGAAGCCCTGAGAGAGTCAACTGCTCTTATCCAGGGGATGCACGGGAAATCCCAAACCCGGCGAGACTTCCCGCGGGTCCCTGTTAGGGGCATCGAGGAGGGGATGGGATCTGGCTTTGCCCGTGGTTGTCATCAGCGTGACAACGCGAGGCTGCACGTCCAGACCCTGCTGGTTACTATCAGTAGCCAGCCTGGGCTGGGTCACCTGCTGAATTCTCTAAACCTCTCTCTGCAAACCACCTGACATTTGAACGGTGCCGTAAATTCAGAGAACATTTCACACTCACCCGATCTCCTCCACGGCTCGGCAAAATGGGCAGCTGAGGCCCAGCAAGGCTGAGTGACCGAGTTACAGGCTATTCACAGGTGGGGATGGAGAACACGAGCCTGCCGAGTCTTAGACACCCCCTAACACTTTGGTCTTGATTTTTAAAGCAAATACGACTTACAGTAAAATTTCAGAGAATAACAGAAAGTTAAAAAATAAATACGTCTCTCATATTCCCACCACCTGAGATAGATCCAGATCGTACTACAGTTAGACAAGGCAGTCTCTCTCCTAGTCCCACCCATAATTTTAATGTATTTACTATTGGAGAATCTGAAGCGTCCAGGGGTGTCCAGTTCTTAGATTCTGAGGTTTCAGAACAAGCCGTTCTTGCCTCTTTATGTTCCTCACGGCTTCAGGGACGCCGGCCCCGAGCCCTGGTCCTCAGGTCATGGTACGGCTCACTGCTGCTACAGCACCAGAACACCAGGGCCACAGCCGCCCCCTTCTGCCCTGAGTCCCCGACTCACATCAGCTTGCTCTTGGCCTCCGTCTCCTTGGGGAACGGGTACTTCCACTTGGTGATGCGCCCCACCTCCCCTGACATGAAGGTCAGGTAGCGCAGGGTCTCCACAGCGACGTTGATGTGCATCACCTTCCGCAGACCCTCCCGCTGCCAGATGTAAAAAGCCACCACGGGGGAAGCATAGTTTTGGATCCACAGGACGTCCCCAGATTCACTGTCCACGGTCACCACCAGCCCATCGCCATTGGACACAAAGTGGGACATTTCTGTACAGATCAGATAAACATAGCGTGTTGAGTCTCACCCAGCTTGCGACCACATCCTCTACTCCCCTGGCAAGCTGCAGCCACTCAGCTAGAGGAAACAAGCCTTCTGGAGTGTTCTCAGATCGCCTCCAGACAACTCCGCTGGCTTCCAGCGAACTCTCTCAGGCCCTACGATAGCAAGACACTGAGAGCTGCCGGGTTTATAAATATAAGACAGGGTCACTCTCTCACGTGGTAATGTTCTTTCTTCACTTGGTAACAGCATTCGATTCAATTAGTGGGATTCAACTGCTGAGAAGAAAGGAAGCAATGGAGGGCCTATGAATCTGGCATTTGATAGCAATCATTTCAAACTACCGAGCAAGCTGAGAGTCCGGGCTGACCACTGCCACTGCCCACGTGTGACCGCAGAGGAGGTCTGTCAGACTTTCGGGTACCAGTGCTAAGATGGGAAAACTGGCTTTTATGTCACAGGCTGATGTTTAATTCTGCTTCTGCTTCCCATGGGCTCGTAGTTACTTCCTCCTGGGACACGGAGGGACTCAACAAAGTGTGCCCTCCCTCCTCTCGGGCTAAACTCACCACCATTTTACCTGGGTTCCCTCCACCCTTCTCGCCCAGGCCCCTGCCTTCAACACTGACTACTGAAGTATTTACGAGTCCACGGAAGTCCAGAACCTGGTGACCAAGAGTGTCTAAAAAGGAAATGCAGCTTTCTGGAGCCCTCGTTTCCCCACAGGTCACAAATACCCGCCCGACCTCACCAAGCCACCGAGGTGCTGGGGGAACTTACTATACTCCACGTCGTCCTCGGGCAGCGCAGCTGCGTAGTCGAAGTAGGTGGCGTTCCACCGGAGCTCGCGGGTTTTGGTGTCGTACATGGTGATGGTGTACTCTGGGGAACACACACCAGCCCGTTACCTGGAGGGGCCACGGCACCTGCGGAGGTGCTGACCTCATCTAAATTATAACAGACGAATCCTCCCTAAATGGTGTGTAAGAAAACCCAGGCCATCCATGTGGAGAGAGACGGGCCACGTGGAGGAAGACTGGAGTCCCAGACGCAGGAGCGAACCTGGCCGACAGCAGGTGGAGCACAGACAGGCCGCCCACGCTGTGCCCTTCAACTCGAGACTCACAGGATCATGAGCGATGTCTTGGTGTTGTTTTAAGCCACTTAAGTTTTCGGGTGGTTTATTATACAGTATAGCAATAGACAGCTGAGATGAGAAACCGTTACCCAGATGTGGGATGGTGCCGTAACAAAAACCTGTAACGTGTGGCGTTGACCTTGGGAGCGGGTGGCAGATGGAGGCTAGAAGAGCAGTAAGGAAACTGCTGCTGGAAGCTGAAAACGATGACCCAGGTTAGGTAGTGGCAACACAATTAGTAGAACTACTTCTTGCAGTAACTTGGAAAACAGAAAGAAAGTACCTAATAAACTCGTGGATCTGTCTAAGGAGATTTCCAGGCGGAATGCAGAACACGCCAAGTGGTTTCTCTTAACTGCGTATGGTACGACGCAAGGCAGATAAGCTAAAGAAGAAACCATTCAGTTTTCAAGCTGAATCTAGAGGAACTACAGAGGGTCCAGGACTGATGCCCCAGCTGGAAAAGATTCTCAATGTGAAAAATGGCCTTAGGGCAAAGATCAGGTTCAGGTGCTACCCGTAAAAAATGGCTCTGGGGTCAAGATCAAATCAAAGATGAGGCTGTAAGGCCCTCCTTTGAGGCCTCAGAAAGATTTAAGGTGGTCCTACATAGACCCTCTGCTAGGTAAGAGGGTTCTAAGAACCGTAAGAGTGCTGTCCCATACCTCAAAGTAGAGAGATTTGTGGGTATAGCTTTATATCTAATGGAGTAGACTATAATTTGACACATGGGAAGCCCACGAAGATTTTTAAGGGAGTGATACCAGCATGGGCCAAAAAAAACAGAGACAGTCAAAAATGGGGGGAAAAAAAAAAAGTCCTCTTTATCCCCAACTTTCAATGGACAAGGAACAGATTGAGAAAGCTACAAAACCCTCACTGTTTCTTAAGGAAAAGAAAGGACTTCTCAGAGGGAAGGACCAGGCTGCTGAGAACAATATATTGGGGAACCAATTCCAGAGGGCAAGACTGGGCCCTAATCAAGGAATCTTCAGAGTAGGGGAACCTGAAGACATGTGCCTGGCTGGATTCCAGAATCACTAAGCACCAGTGACTGCTGTGCGTCTATCCTTCCCTCCCTTTCTGAATGGAGTATCCAGTGCAACTCTCCTATCTGTGTCTATGCTGGAGGGGAGATAATGTGTCTCCTTTGATTCACAGGTCTCCAGATCAGAAGCCTCGCCCACTTCCAAACCAGATACAGATCAAAAGCTGCTGGATTTTGAGCCCCATGCTGTGGCTGGACTTGGGGAGTCTTGGGAAGGGGTGAGTATATTCTGCATGTAGGAGGGTTGTGAATTATTGCAACCAGAGGGAAGCCTGTGGTGGAAGGTCTGAAAAGATCACCACCATCAATGCTCCCCCATCCCTGTACCTCACGTGACAGTCTTCCCACCATGAGGCTGAGTCTATTTCCCTACCCCTTGGTTCCGGGCTGGCCCCGTGACTTGCTTTGACCAACAGGCTGCAGCGGAAGTGAAATTCCAGGACTTCTGAGCCCAGACCTTAGAGGCATTGTAACGTCCACTTTTCTTTTTTTTTGGCCGTGCCTCACCGCTTATGGAATCTTAGTTCCCAGACCAGGGATTGAACCCAGGCCCTCAGCAGTGAAAGCGCAGAGTCCTAACCACTGGACCACCAGGGAATTCCCGCAACGTCCACTTTTACTCAAGAGGAGAACCCAGCTGCCATGTAAAGAAGTCCAGGCTATCTGCATGGAGCTGAACCAAGGTCCCAGACATCTGAGTGAGCCCAGCCAATAGCCTGTGGAGTGGAGGCCATCCATCCCTGCTGAGCCCATGGACTTGTGAGCAGTAAAATGTTGGTGTTGGAAGCCGCTAAGTTAGGGTGGTCTGTTATGCAGAGACAGATAATGGAAACAACAGATAGCATTACACGCCCACACACACACACACACACACCACACACACACACACGCCACCGGACGCCAGAGCATAGCCTGATTCCCTCAGACACTGCAATTCTACCTGATAACCAAGCAATGTTTATTCCTGGGTGAAGATGGAACCACTGTAAGGCTTTACTTGATGGACACAGTAAACCAACAAACAAACCCTAAGTGGTCACTACAGTTGGAATACTTGATATTTATGGGGGATGGGGGTGAGTGGAGAGTCCTGCGGTTTCACAGAGACCCTCCCCTGTGATTACAGGAGAGCTCAGCCAGCCTCTAGGGCCCAAGATTATCAGCCTCACTCGTTTTTAGAAAAGCACTGTTTTCCACAGCACCTGAAGGAAGGTTCTGTCTCTCTTTTTCTTAAGGCCTTGGCTACCTGAATGCTTAGACCTAAGTTTAGTGCTCAGTTGTAATGACTGCATCTTAGGTTTTGGGTATAATCTTTCCATTCTAAATGTTTTCTTGCTCGCTTCCCCTTTTAGCTCTATTTTAGCCGTCCATGCCACAGTTTTTATGGAGTAGTGGTATAGATCAGGGGCTGCACACGTGAAATGAGTAAGGCAGATCCCTGGAGGAAAAGGCCCCCACCCATTCACTCGCTGCAGCCTCTGAACACCTGCTACGTGCCAGCAACATGCCAGGTGTGGAGACTCGGCAGGCGAACAAAACCAAGTCCTGCCCTCAGGAAGCCGACAGTCTAGCAGGGGAGGCAGAAAACACGCACATATGATTTAGAAACATGTAGTGATGAGTGTTGAGAAGGAAGGGGCTCTGGAGGGAGGAGGTGGGAAATGGTGCCGAGGAGGAGGGCGCTGCTGATGCCTGGGAAGGGCCGCCGATGGGCGGTGTGAACCGCTGTGCGTGCCGAGCACGGAGAGCTGTGGTCCCCAGGCAGTGGGGGAGCTGCAAGGCGGGGAAAGGCTTCACGGAGAGGGAGGCTTCTGAGCAGCGCTGGGAAGGAAGAATGGACGCCGGCCGCACAGGCAAGAACGTGTGTACCTGGTAGAGACGGACCCCACTACTCCAAGTTTAAAAAAATAGCACTGCTTATTCTGGGACCTGATTGGAAATGTTTAAGTGAGGGAAATGCAGCGGGGGGAGAGGCAAAAGAGGTAGCGGAGGCATCAAGGGGGCTTTGCGGGCTACGGTGCGGTTTAGACTGGAACCCTCAGGCACTGGGGAGCCACCGGGCTGGGGGGCGGCTCTTATAAAGGGGAATGACATGGTAAATCTGTGTGTGGACTAGACAGCTCTGGCCAGCTTCTAGAGAATGAAGCCCGGAGGCAGAGACCCACGGGGAGGCTACTTCAGGTCCTTTTTTGCATACAGGCAGGTTGTACATGATAAAAGCTTCCTTCTTACCTGTTCGCCCAAGATACAGAAGAGAGGTTGATGGGCAGAGACTATCCGCAAAGGCCGATGACAAAGTCTGCTGTTTCTCCCCGGTCAGGAGGTCAATGACGTACCAGATGTCCTGCTTTTTACCTGCAAGGTCACAAGGACACGCTGTGGTTTACACTCGCCCAATATGGAAAAAAAACATCCCTGCCAAACTAGCAGCTCAAGATGTTCTCTGCACTGACAGACAGGCCTGAAATTCTTACGATGTCAAACACATTTCTCTGTGGCTCCAAGGGTGACAAGGTTAATGGTAATGTGGAGATAATAAAACTTCTTGGACCACTGGGTCTTATAACAACTTAATAACCTAGTCATGGTATAAAAATTTCTCCAAGCCTAATAATGTAATAACTCACAGATTTTATTGCTCTGATGAATGGCTTTAAATATGAAAAATCTGGCCTGTAAAGGCAATCCTTTTCCCATAGACTAGGATCTATATAAATCCAGAAATGTACCCAGGGGTTTGTCTCCCTGGTAACCATCATTCATATATCTCAGCGTCCCTACTAATGAGCCCTCATGTAGAGAGGATCTACAGTTACTGTTTCTAACTCTAATCAGCTGGTACCTGTGACTGGGCAGTAGAGTTGGTGGCAACCTGGTGCTAATGAGGCCAAAGTTATCTCGACCGTGACCCCAGCCAGTAAGCGACTCCCCAGCCACACGCTATACTCCTCCCCTCATTCAGCTGATTAAAAGTTATAAACAGGTGGACAGCATAGCCAAACAACACGATGAGGAAAGCTCAAAGCGTATGTATCAATACCTACGGTTATATACACCAGACCATCCTAGTAAGTTCCTGAGAAAGCTGCTTTATCAACACAGGATATTATTACCACTGCGATTTCAAGATAAATACAGCTCCCACCTGAAGGTCAACGCCTTCACCGTGATGCGCACGTCTCTGTCTCGTAAGGCTTGCTTTGTAAGACAAGCCTTGTCTCTTGTGTCTTCCTACCTTATTAGCCAAGTTTCCTATTTCAAGGGACTCTTGGAAGCACAGTACCAAGATGCCAGGAAGATCACAGGGCATCAGAATTTGCTAAAGCTACGCTTAGTTCTAACAGAGGTAGCACCCGTCCGAAACTTGTCTGTGGGTCGCAACTTCCCGTTCTCAAAGACCAATCTTAATATGAAAAAGATCTGAAGACAGAGAGAAAACATCACCAAACGGCTGTGACCAGGACCCCTTTCCATCTGGCTTGGCACCCTTCGGGTTACTTCCAGGACCATCACAGCCTGCATAACTCAGCTACCCCTTTAATGGATGGATCGGCCAAAGGCCACAACTCTAAATGCACCCTAAGTGATGAACTGCTGGTCAGAGCTGGAAGACCAGGCAGAAAACAGTGACACGGAGGGTGAGGAGATGTTCAGAGGGGCCCGGGGCATGGCCCAGAAGACAGAGAAGGCCTGTGCCGATCACTTCCTCTGCATCCCCAGGCTGGGGGCTTCCTCATTCTGAAGGTGTGCAAGGAAGCAAGAGCCCCGGTCTCCTTAGACAAAAACTTAAAATCCAGCTTGGGCCTGCGCTCGAGGCCCACAAACACACATAAAGCTCCCGAGGCATGAATAGGCAATAAGCACTTTAAGTTCCTCAGAAAGCAAGCTGCTTTATAAATACGGGATATTATTACTACTACGCTTTCAAGACAAACACAGCTCTCATTTGGGTTACAAATGCATTTTTATTGACATTTTGGCAGCAACATGGTAAAAGAAAAGCAGCTGATCTGATGCTTTGAAGATGTGACCCCTGTAGGTATGAAGGCAGCTTATCTACGCAAGCTGTTATGTGCTGTTTTTAATCCAGTATTCTGATAGCAGGAAATACTAAGAAAGCCCTACAATTAACAGGCAGAGCCTGGCTTCCCTTTCTTGGCTCAGACGATGGTATTCACTTTAAATTTCATCCAGTTGCTTCTGAGTACGTTGCAAGTTGCAATCTGTAAATCGCAAGGGTAGGTCAACACAGCAGCTAAAAGCTTGTTAAATGAGTAACCTAATGGTGTCAAGTCTGCTCCCAAGTGGGGGGAACCCTTTCTTAATAGGTCAGCTGATCCTGGCGTGAACCAGCACAACCGAGGCAAGAAAGACCTTTCCCAGAAGGACCAGTGGGGGAGTGACTCTACACCTCTCTCTCAGACACGCCACTTTCCCAGATTCTGGGGTTCATTTCCAAAAGGGATCAAAGTTTCAGGAACCCTTACCCATGTAGAGAATTCCATCTGAACTTCGGCACGGGGATGCCTGCACCAACTCTGGGATCGTAAAGGGAAGTTTCTTTAAAAAAAAAAAAGGAAAAGAGAAAAAAAAAGTTAACCAAGTCTTGTGCAATTATTACAATTTCACTGCACAGTTTCTGTTACCCAATTCTGCTAAAAGGGAGGAGCACTGTTGATGGTAGATGGGAGTTTTCCTAACTGGAAACCAGGGAGAAGGGGCACCCCAGGCTCCCCTATCCACTTTGGACAAGCCCTCAGCTCCCAGGTTCTGGGCATTAGAAACAAGAATTCTGCTACTTGACAAGCCCCTCAAAGTCTCTTGTCCAGAGCGCTCCTGGGGATGACACAAACCTTCTCTGAAAAGACATACAAATATGGAGGGTTATACAATCTTTGAAATTCTAAGGGGGGCGGGCAGGAAGAATTGTCCTGTCTTGGAAAATTGTCCCAGAGCCGGCTTGACTGAATAGAAAATGCTCCTCAGAGAGGGAGTGAGCCATGAGACTATTCTGAAGAGAAGCAGCCTCGGTGCCCGGCTGAAGCCTCGAGGGAAAGGAGAAGTCATCACTCATGGGCAACACAGGAGTTTGAGGCAGGAAAAGAAGTTTTGGTGTTTTCTCTAGCAAATAATTCTCTACTGAAAAACAGAAGAGAATTGGGTCTTTTGGTACTAAAAGGAAGTTATGGTAGGTGCCAGGAAAAGAAACTCAGAGCAATCCACATGTTTCAACTGCATTTCATCATAAAACCGATTCTTCTGAGTCTACAGCTGACATCTGACAAGTCCTTTTGGTTAACGTTTGTTTCAGAATACTTTATTTTTGGAACATTCTGTGTTCTTGAAACCGTTCCACAGATACCTGCTTCTACGATGCTGTCACCTTTCTCTCCAAGAAAGCAAAGATTTCTCTCGAGCTTTAGTAAACAGAACTTTAAATAACCAACAATGTGGATTTCCCCATCATCCCGGTGTTTAAACTAAGCCTTAGCAAAGGAAAAATGCCACGGAGAGGCAGTAACGACTGGGTTTCCCCCAGATGTTTCTGAGGATCAGAGAGTCGTTGCAAGGTTTCCAGTCTGGAGCCTGGCGGTGTCTGCTGAGCGCCTCCTGAGTGCTGGCTGAGCCATGAGAACCTGCTGGTTCAGATCAACGTTTCTGAACTCTGAGCTGTACATTGAAAAGCTCACTGAGGAAGCTGTGAAAAGATACTGATGCCCAGGCCCCAATCCAGACCACCTGATTCAGAATCCCCAGAAATTTTTTTTTTTAAGCTCTCAGGTGATCTCAACGCACAGCTAAATTGAAGGTCAGTGGTCTAGAGCCTCCGGAGTAGAAAGCAGCTAAATATACTCACCGTCAGGCCTTCGTTATTCTTGCCCCCAAGCGTATACAGGCTGCCATCGTTGGGATCTGGGAGGAATGCAGGCCTAGAAGTTAAGCAATAAGTATCAGTGAAAGATTATAGCCCAGGGCACAGAGTAAAATACCAAAGCCATGCAAAGCCATGATTGGTGAGGTGGGGGGAGTGGGGTGTGTGTGTGTGTGTGTGTGTGTGTAAAACAATTCCATCCACTGCTCTTTCATTTTACCCACAGATAATAAAATATCCTTCTGGTGCTCTATACTATACTAGGGTGAAAAAAAAGCAACCTACAAAGGAAAACCAGTACAAAACCACAGAAGACTAAATCATCATTCCGTCAAGGCGTCCTGGATGAAGGTAAAATAAGTGAAAAGGACCCAGCAAGTCTGCTTTTCAGTTTCCCAGTCAGCTGCATATAGAACTTCAACAATTAATATTTAATAGCATGGCATGGTACGTAAACAGGGAGAACAAATCTGCCTTTGGTGTTCCACAAACATTCATTTTTAGGAGGCAGTAAAAGCAGACTCTGAAAGCTTGACATGAGAAAGAACCTGCCAAGGGGATGGGTCAAGGTCTCATCAGTAGCTTCCCAGGAAGCAGGTTCAAGGTGCTCTTTTGTAAAGTTAACCTGCTAACGACTGAACTACGACGCAGTCACTCAGAAACCCCTTGCTGAGTCTTTCCTCTAATGTGTTTATAGCATCATTTGAGGCTCTTGGAGGTGCTATCCAACTTTTACTCCAAAACACACACTCTAGTAGCAGGTCACGTTCCTGTCTCCTCTCCACGGTTAAGCACAGTGAAGAGGGAGAGATCTAAAGACCCCTGGGCCCTCCTGAGGACTTGGGAAGCTTAAGATCAAAACTCGACTTAAGTTACATCTCAAATAAGCCTTTTTAATACCATCGCCTTCCCACCCCGCCTCCCAGGGAACTGACCATCCTCTCCCCAACACAGGCTTCTTTCTTTCAAAGCACCTGTAAGACTTCCTATGTCTCAGTCACTCTCATTCCACCTTAAATTTATGCATACGTGTACTCCCAGCAACTAGCTTCGTAAACACTGATTGAATAAAATAGAAAATGAATTAAAGGGAAGTGCTGCGGCAAATCAGAAAACTTACTCTTCCACGTGTGTTGGAACCTGCAGGACTGGATCTGTGCAAAAGAACAACAACAAAGGCATCGTCAGACAGACTCTAAAATATCAAGATTCCTAGAGTTCCCAGGAACACAAGATGGACCGATAAATTTATCTACATAACGTATGTGAAGGCACTTTAGAAAACTCACACACAGAAACACAAATGTAAGCTCTTACAGCTGTCGCCGAGATGGGAGAGAGGCCTGAGAGCAGAAGGGAACTGCTGTCAGGAAACGTGCCTCTAACTTGGGGGATGGGCATAGAAGGAAACACTGGTGACAACCCGCAGTGGACAGTGGGTCACAATGTCACTACCTGACACGTCAAGGACTTCTAAAACCTAAATCATCCCTTGGTCAGATGCCTGTCCTGCTGCGAGATACTCCCACCGGGAAAAGCAAAACTGTGACTTAAGAAGCAATGTGGCTGTTGATGAGAATTTGACTGGATGGTAGATGGTAAGTACACGCCTTTGGGGCAGGAATATGGCAATTTTAGAGCCTTGAGTGTTCATTCTTCTTGATTCCCTTCGATCCATTAATTCCATTTCTAGAAAATCTAGTTTTAAAACAACACAAAATGTGGAAAATGCCTTCAGTACAAAGATCCTCACAGCAGCATCACAAATGACCTACTATTTAGTGATATGGTTAAATTATGGGCTGTCCACTTGGTAGGAAATGAAGGCTTCTGAAAGGGCTTATAAAGTTTAAAAAACTGTATCAATCTTTATACTGTTATGTTCAGGAGAAAAGATAACATTGTACCTAGAGTATTAATGCAGCTGAGGAGAAAAACCTTCAATATTCATTAAAAAAAAAAAAACTACATGGAAAGGCCAAAAAAAAGAGTGGGAACTGTAAGTTATCTTTGTTGGAAATAGAAATGACTCCCCCACCTTTTCCATATTGCCCCAAATTTCTACTCAAGTAGGCATTACTTTTGAAATCAGAAAAAAAGTTTTTTTCTCCAAGTCAGTTTTAATATTTGCAACAGTCTAAGTGGCAGAATTTCTCCCTCCCTAGATTCTCCTGGGCACAGATCAAGAGGGTGCTCCCGACTCCATGGGGTGGACGGAGGTGGGAGAGAGAGGCCACCGACACTGCTGTAACAGAGCTAAGTCCCCAGGCACAAGACCACACAGTGATGAGGCATTTCCAGCCGTCAAGACCCCACAGACTACAGGCCACGCTGCCCACAAGTTCAAAGCTGGGGCGAGGACGGCAAATACTGTGATATGATTTTGGACACCGGCTCTGCTGATGGTGACAGGCAGCTGTCTAATTCCCTGGGTCAGCCTGGATTCTCAGAGGAAGGAAAACTCTTTCAAGCCTTATCAGCTGTTGATTTTGCTTTACAAGTCCGGCTCTGACACAAAGGCATATGGGTGTTCACAACAACAGAAGCGCAGGCACCACGTGTGGTCTGTGGGCAGCGAACAAACAATTCATTAAAACCAAAAGCATTTCGGGAAACAGGAGGAACTTTCAGTCAGAAAGCACATGTTTATTGTTCTCACTAATCGCCTCTCACAAACAGACTGATGCAAGAGACAGGAAACGAGGGCACACAGCACTCACCCTACTGAAACAGTCAGGGAGCAATTATAACCCCGCTCCTCCAGCGCAGCCCAGAAGCCGTGCACGCCAGGGACAGCAAGAAGGCATATTCCAGAGCAAACACAGCAGGCAAGAGGGCGTCGGTTTTGCTCACTTCAGCCACTTAAAGGTATCGCAGATCAACCCAGATGAGGAGGACACTACTGAATCCCAGCCATTCACCAGAAACAAGCCGTGGAGACCAACGGGATTTCGACTCCTGTTCCTGAGCTTATCTTTGCTGGGCAGTGTTTGCTCACGCTCAGGGTCTTGTCCTCTGGCGCAGACTTTCCTGGTTTTCTAGAGCTTATTCACTGCTCACCTGACACGGAGGCCTCAGGTCCCAAAGTGTGCCCTGCACCAGAAAGGTTCCAGTTAAGACACAGGCCACCAGCAGAAGCCAGAGAAGGATGGGTAGACACCTACATGGGTGTTGAAGAGCCATGCTTCCTCCTAGGCTTAAGGGGACATGAACTCCAGCAGGGGTACCTTCTCATCCATTCATAATATAGGGCCCCTGGAATAAACATCTGCAGAGCTGCAGGCCACGTCACAGCATGACTGTTAACACAGCTCCGATACAGGCAAGCAAATGCATAACCGTGACCTATTCCACTCATGTTTTTCCCTTAAAGAATCATCTGAACCTGAGCTTTGCATTAAAATACTACAGGAAAAAAAAAAACATCATATGGGAAGGGGGCAGATAAGACAAAGAACGGCAGCCTGTTGACAAATGTTCAAAGATAGAATTGACAACACTGGCCTGTCATTTTACTCTTCTCTCTACATATGCTTGAAATTTTCCATAACAGAAAAGGTTAAAAGATAAAAATATTTGAAAAGCCAGCAAAAGGCACCATCTGAAAACGTGCACTGAAAGCCTAACACGAAAAAGGAGTTGTTTTGGATTTAATAATGAGAACTGGTATCAGGCAAGATTCTTGCTCTTAAAAAAAAAAAAAAAAAAAAAAAATCACCCATGTGAAAAGGAACAGAGGCCTATCCCTAAGGCTATAAACAAACACTGGTACAAAATAAGCCTCTCAACCTATAGGGGACTGATAAGGATAAAAGCCATCTCACAAAGCTGCTTTACTTTCAGAAGGAATAAAAAAAAAAAAAAAGGGTTACTTTACAAGTATAAAAATGGGTGTTATTCAAGGTAAAGGTAAAGATATCAGAAGAGGAAAATAAAGCTGAAATCAGTGTTTGGTCTCCAAGATTAAGACAGAAACAGATCTGCCCACTGCTCCCCTGGGAGCAGCCACTGTACTCGGTTCCCCTCCAGGGTCCATCCAGCTCAGACCTGAAACGGCACAACCTTTACTCTTGGAGAAACCTGGGTGAGGTCAGGTGACACTCAGGGCTCCTGTTTTGTGCGGATCGAATCCTCCTTTTCAATCTGAGGCAGAAATGACTTAAAATAAATGTAAACATCCTGTATCTACAAAAGAAGTGAGTTTTCGTCTTTCCAAGAATACCTTTCTCGCCTTCATCCTCGATCCCATCCTCTCTCAAACTTCACACCTTCTCCCTCTGCGCTGGACCCTAACCGCACTCTTCACTCTGCTCCCTTCTTGAGCTCTCAGTCCATCAGCAACAACAGCTCTACCCTTCACCCCGTGGGCTATCCCACGTGCCTGCTGCCCCAGCCCACGGGCTTCATCCCTCCCCTCCTTGAGACTCTCCACCTCCTGGCCTCTGTGGCCCTTGCACTGCACTGATTTTTCACTCACCTCTCCCTCTCTCTCTCTCCCACCCACTCCTCTCCCCTCTCCTCCCCACTCCCTACTACAACAGGGAGGAACTTTTCCAGGTTCTCCCCTCAGTTCTCTCCGAGAGCACATCCATCTCTGTAGCTTCAACCATAACCACAGTGGGGAAATTCTAGGTCCCCATCTCTCGAGCTCTTCTTTCTGGACTGACTGGACATTTCCACTATCTCCTGCCAGCACCTTGACCGCCACTTGTCCAAATCACACCCTCCATCTTTCTCTCCAGACTGGTCTGACTACCCGATTTTGTTAACGCCATTCTCCTAGAAGGCGGGCAAGCCTCAAACCGTTCTGTTGACGCTCATTTCTCCGCCAGCACCTGCCATCAGAAGCCAAACTCCGTGGTCTATTCCATCATCCTGTTTCCTACTCACAGCATCCCTTCAACATCATTGGAACCCCTTGTCTTTCAGGCGCTCCCTTTTCTCCTAGTCTGTGTGCCCTTTGGGATCAGAAAGACCTATGCTTAAATCCTACTCCGCCAAATCTCTCTGAGCTTCAACTTCCTCATCAGTGAAGAGAAAAAAGGAAATAGAGATAATAACACCAAACTCATGCAGCACCTCCGTGTGGATTAAAGAAGGTTAAATATGTGTTAAGACTGTAAGTCAGTGCCTTGATAGAGAAGAGTGATCCTTCTAAAGACGTCAATCAGATTATGCTTCCCCGCCACTCACAATCCTCTGATGGGTCCCATCTCACTCAGTAGAGGCCGATGTTCACACAGCGGCCTACAAATCCCACACAACCCCACCCTCCCGCACCCCCCCTGGCGCTCTCCGATTATCTCCTCCTCACTCTATTCTGGTGAGGAGGAATGCTGGAATGCCATGCTGGAATACAGGATATTCCTGAGTACTGCCAAGCCTGCCCCTGCCTCGGGGCCTTTGCATTTACTGTTCCCTGTGCCGAGGTCTTCGATCAGATGTCACCATCTCAGAGAGGTCTTCCACGACCATCTCCTACCCCCCAGGATTCCCTACCCCTCTTCCCTGCTTAATTTTTCTCCATGACACTGACCACCTCCAAAGTACTGTGTATTTTGCTTATGTTTTTAACGTCTGACTCGGGCCACTGGAAGATCCAAGGGGGCTGGGATTTATCTTTCGCTGCCTGCTATACCCTCAACATCTAAAACAGTGCCTGGCGCACAGGAGCTGCTCAGTATATTTACTGAATGGGGCAATCGATAAATGTTAGTTTCCTTCCCACTTCCACTCCTGCCCTGCCTGGATATCCATTGCTGATCACTTCTACAATCCAGCAGCTCTGCTCTATCAACCCTCAACCCAGAATCCACCTAGCAATCCCCTTTCCTCTGCCCAGGCTTCTGAGCACTGCCGAAGAAAACACTATAATCACGTGTGTGATACCAAAATACATGTGTGGCCAGCTGGGCCCATGTCATAGGAGATATGTTTATCTATTTCCTGGTTGGCCTCTGTTCCCCGTTCCTCACAGCTGGTGTTTCAGACCTTCACCCCTTGCCTCAAGGCTCTTTCCTCTCCGCACATGACTCCCCTCTGTGGCACAGGGGAAGTGAGGGGGGCAGAGCGGGTTCTCAGAAACTTCCTACCCCTCACCCTCCAGGTTTGCCCAACCCCACCCTTCCCTTCACATCTCTATAAAAGGACGTTT